CTGAAGCCCGCGGCATGGAGTGCTAGCGCGGTGGTCAGTCCGCCGATACCGGCCCCTGCAATGAGGATCTTTGGTTGCGTGTCGGAGTACAAGAACGGCATGTTGGGAGAAGCGTTTTGAGGGTGACAAGATCAGTGAATACAGAATCTTTAAATGCATGCGTAATGAACTATTTTCACTAAGAAGTCGGTCCTATCCCGTGTCTTTGTGGAGGGATTACGTTAGAAGAGTCCCCTACCGTACTGCCGAATTCAGCTGCCGCGGCTTGAATAAGGCCGCAGGACAATATTCACCAGCATTGCTTGTCCCGTCATATTATCCGCCTCGTCAGTTTCTGGCTTTCGCGTGGTCTTCGTGTGGAGTGTGGGGAAAACCAAGGGTCTAATCTTCTAGTCGCCTATGTTCGGCCGAGATCGCTTCGTAGGTCGCTCTCGCGAGCCTTCATTAGGTTGGTAGTAGATATACCACAGGACGACTTGACTCTCTTTGCAAGAGATGATTCACGTAGAACAGTGAGTAAATGGGAAGTAGCTTGACGAAGACAAGAGAAAATGATTAGCAATTTTGTACTATCTAGACAACATGGCCGCCGCGAGACTTCCGTGGTCGACATGACTTTCGACTGATCTGACACCTTGGGCCACGATCCTCGTTCATCTCACTCAACTAGGGAGCGTAATCTGCATTGTCGTCCTTGTCGTACCTGACGTATTTGACCTTATCCATGCCATGCGTAGCACGAAGGTGGCCTGTGGAGAAACAAGAAATCAGCAAAACTCCAGTATATTTCAACGTCGACGGTACTTACAGTTCTCGGGGAATGAACAATATCCATGGTCGCGCTCAAGAGCACATTGATGACCCAGATCTGAAGCCGTAATGTTAGCATTACCGCAGATCCATGATACAACGAGGTTGAGAGTCATCGTCGCGTGAGGGCCTCTTCCACATGTGTACTTACAGCAGTCAATGTTCTCGCAGCCTTTGTTCTTGCAAGCCAAGCTACGCGTCTTGTAGCGCAAGGCATTCAGCTCAGCGGGTGTAAGCTTCGGCTCGTGTTGGAAATTGCAGAATTTGCCATTCTCGCAGTAGCCGCCAAGATGCCTGCACGGTATATTAGTCGGGTCTCAGTACCAACAGTGAAGCACTGGAAGTTGCTCGTCGTAGTCTCAGCACTCCAAAGTGGCAGCTTACCAATGATTACACATCTTCTTGCCAACTTTCTTCATGCGTGCTTCGAGCGAAGCTGCGGCAGCAGGATCTTTCGGAGGCAGTGGCTCATCCAATCTCTGACCAGCTTTGTTGTAATAAGCGTATTTCTTCTTAGTGTTTTTCTTAGTAGCGGCCGTAGTAGGTGCGATCGAAATGCTGCCATTTTCAGGAGCACCGGCTTTGCCAACGGTGGCTGGTCTCTTATTAGCAATGCTTCTGACGAAATCGATACTGGGTGCGTTTCTTACCCCAGGAAGAGTCGCCATTCGACTCGCCAGGCGCAGCAGCTGAGACCGGGGTTACACTGGGGGAGGGAGACGCAACGGAAGCTCTCGGAGTGAACGTAGGTGATGATGTGTTGGTGTTGTTCGTGACTGAACGTGGGAGTGGTTGTACTGCTGCCTGTACTGGCGACTGTACAGAAAATTGACCGAAGCCATTCACTGGAGGCTGGTAGTCAGGGAGGGGCTCGCTCTTGAAGACGTCGTCGAAACGAGCACGCTTGAAGTTGGCTAAATCCGCGAAGCCGCGGTAGGCAGGTGTGGTCTCCAGAAGTGTGATGCGACTGGATTTGGCGGCATCGTGTTTGAAGTGTTCGAGGTTTAGTAGGTATCCTGCGTCGTGGCAACCACCGAAGACGATATGACGGCAGGTGGGATTGTCGCTAAAGGTACGAAGCATTTCTGCAGGTCATTATTAGCATCAGTCAGTTTGATTAGAAGAGACGCAATACCCTTAATCTTGTGATCGGCTCTTTCTTTTCCGTGACCGACGTCGATTATACTAAATAAGGGCTGATTGACGCTGAAGCGCTGCGCAAAAGCTCGTAGATCCTGAGGCGACCGAAGAAGGCCAACCGACGCCAACTTCTGTGCAAGCTTATCGAGACTTAGATAGACCTGGACCATAATGGGCCAGCTGCCTGAACTGTTGTACAACGAAGCAACATGGTCGCGAATTGCATGATACAGGAGGGAAGCAGCTTCTGAACCTCCATCAGCACCAGCGGCTTGGAGTAAAGCATCTTGAAACTGCATGTTCAAAATCAGCAATCACTTCTTTCGGCTGTATGCCCGTGTCGCCATATCCTGTACATGTTGCCAACCATATGTGGGCCGGGATCGATATAAAGTCGCCACAGGACAATAATGAACTTCAGGGACTCGCAAAGACTTACGATAGCTCCATCCCCATCAATTAGTGCCAACACAAATGAACTTGCTTCCTGTAGCCAAAGTCAGCACGCGAATTGGCAAGGCTGACATAACAGCGGGTAACGCACCAGCTGACGTGTGTAATCTCCCACCAAAGCCTGCTTCTCATCCACAGTCCTCTGATAATTCCTCCTGATATCTCTTTCACTCAAATAGTCATTCTTCAAGTTGGCGTGCTCTTCGGACAATTCGCGATACTTTGCTAGAATTTCCTATTGATTGATTAGTGTTTGTCGCGCGGCCGCACACGCGACTCAGCGACACGTACTGTAACAAACTGCTCTCTGGCCTCATCAGACGCGCGAAATGATTGCATCTGATGAATGAGTCGATCGTATTCATTGTAGCTCGACATAGTGGCGAAATTGTTATGGCGAACAACAGATTGTCCAACCGTGGTTCGGTGCGGGTAGGATGAGCTGAAGGCAGCACTCCTGGGTGATGAACTTAGCGGGCGTGGAAGAGGGTCCGGGCGGGAAGTCTAGACCTGAACGGTGTAGGGCGGCCGATCACGTCTCCAGGCTATTCCTCCTGGAAGTTGCGATCTAACGGGACTGAAACCGAGACACAGATTTGGATAAGCAGAGACGTGGCGCGCCTAGAATCTCCTCAAGATTTGTATCTGTGGTGTTGGTAGATTTGTAGCAAACGTTTCGTTCCTCGCAACATGGCGCAGCTCTCTTCGTGCATGAGAGCTGCTGCGGTGGGCCATTGGGGGTACAGGCGAGCGTATCGCCTTCTGCCCCCTTCTGTAACACGAAACATTATTGACAGCACACAGCCCGATGGCATGATAATGGGAGATTGTTATGGAGCTCGTAGAACCATTACTGGTGCCCTCATTAATTATCAGGTAGCATTCTGTCAGCGAATACAGCAGCGAGATAGGCAATATGACCGTTTCCAACAATCGGTATCGCACAACAAATGAGTACGGTCCATGAGCCGAAACTGTATTTCAATTGACCCACAAGTTCAGTATGTAGATCGCCTGGTACATGTTCGCTTGTGCCTCCCTCCTGCTCAGCCGCTGCTGAACGAAGGCTGGGCTCCCCCAATTTTCGGAACCTGTTCCGAGAGCCTGCACCTAGGTAGCGAGACATCAGCAGCGACGAACAGGCCAGCTAATTGATCCTATCTCAGTGACTAAACTCGGCATTGCTGTGAAGTGACCACGACAACTTCAAGCCAGCTGGCAGGTTGACTTGCATCTGATGTCCTCGCATTGCTCGGTCTCGGCGCAATTCCGCATCTGATGTCAGCATCTACGATCTCGCAGTCCAACCACAACCCCACAATGACGCCAAACACGCTGCATAGAGCACGCCGAGCGGCAATGGCACGTCAACCTGACATGGTGCTCTGTTCCCCTAGTTATAGTGGACTGACAAGGCAGCCATTGCAACCGCATGCTTCGCACCACATTTCGACCTCTCCTTAGCCCCCATAGCTTCCTACAGCTCTCCAAACACCACACTCAAAGTCCAACTGCGCTTCGATACTACATTACCACCATGTCTGCGACCAAGAAAGCGCGCACCCAGCCTCCATATGAGTTGCTGTACTGGCCCGGTATCCCAGGACGTGGAGAGTTCATCCGCCTGGCGTTCGAAGCAGCGGGCGTCTCCTACAAGGACGTCGCCAATGAGTCGGAAGATGGTACGCACCTTGCGCTTCAATCGCATCATATACCTGTATAGCTAACAACCCCTTCAGGCATGAAAGTCATCAGCTCCCTCACGGACCAATCGTCCACAGGCTCCGACGGCAACCCACCCACCTTCGCCCCACCCGCCCTGCGCATCCCGGGCGAGGGCAAGAACGGCGCGGCGCTGTTGATCTACCAGACACCCTCCATCCTCGCCTACCTCGGTGATAAGCTCGGCCTCGGCGGCGCAGACGAGGCAGAGAAGGCGTGGATCCTCTCGCACACGCTAACGGCGCTGGACCTCAACAACGAAGCCCACGACACGCACCACCCCATCGCGGTTGCGAAATACTACGAGGATCAGAAGGACGAGTCGGTGAAGAAGGCGACAGACTTCCGCGAGAACCGCATTCCCAAGTTTCTGGGCTTCTTCGAGCGCGTGCTCAAGGGCAACGAGGCGCAGGGACAGGGCAAGTTTCTTGTTGGGGATAGTCTAAGCTATGCTGATACTACCGTCTGGCATGTGCTGAGTGGACTGGAGTTTGCATTCCCAAAGGAAATAGCAGCGAGGAAGAAGGACTACCCGACCTTGTTCAGGGCCTTCTATGATAGTGTCAAGGAGGCCAAGGGGATCAAGGAGTACCTCGGGAGCGAGAGACGGAAGCCATTCAGCATGGGTGTCTTCAGGCATTACCCTGAGCTGGACAGGCAGTAGATAGTACCATGGTCAGGGCAAAGAAGGCCATCACGAACAGTAAAAGAAATCAATTGCAAATGGTATCTTGAAGGGGTGCCTAATACAGGCTCATGTCATCTCATTCTCATTCCTTTTTGATGCCGGTACATGACGCATAACCGAAGCCCTGCCGTACTCCTGACCCATGAAGATTTAACGAGATCGACCAAACCCAACGAACCGCCTAGATCTAGTAGTCGGTCTGCTGGCTCTGGGGGAACTCGAAGTTGACGCCCTTGCCAGTGAGGCGCTTGTAGACCTCGCTGTAGGTGTCGAGCCTGTAGTCAACACCACCGCGCTCCTTCTCGTCAAGGACAACCTTGAGGATCTTGCTGCCGTCCTCGCGGGTACGGAGACGCTTGCCGACAATCTCGACGGGGTAGACGAGGTCGGTCAGGATGGCGTCGTGGACAGCGGTGAGAGTCCGGGACTGGGGACGCTTCTGGGTCTGGGTGGTGCGCGAACGGTTGGAGCGCTTGGGGCGGGGAAGGATGCGGCGGGAAGCAACGATCAGGACGTGGCGGTCGGAGAACTTCTTCTCGAGCTCACGGGTGAGACTGAGGACCGTTAGTATGCGCATTGCATCGATTCGAGAGCACAACATACCGCTGCTGGGCCTTGTGCCATCCGGACAGAAGGGGAACAGGGACGAAGATGACAATAGCCTTGCGTCCGTGGCCAACCTCGATCTAAGAATCCTGGTGTCAGCATGATGTTGCTGCCCAGTGCCCACCGCCTCTTCAGTTATAGGGTATGGGTGTAGGTGTGTGTGTGTAGGCGACGCTCGAGAGCGCATCGTGGTGTTCGGGTTTTCATACCTCGCGAGCAGAGACGAACTGGAGAGGGCGCAGAGAAGCCTTCAGGTCGGGGACGTTGTTCTCGAGGTCAGTCAACGCCTATCACAAATGTTAGCCGTAGTCGTCAGTGTGCAATTGACGGGTGAACTTGCGCTGGCGATGCTGGTCTCGATCTCAGAGGGGTTCTGCCTCGAGGGGCTGTTGGGCGCGATCTTGTTCAGCGAGTTGGCGGACATTTTGGCGGCGTGATGTCGAGCTGGTCGGAGTCTGAAAGTTCGAGGTGCTGCTTGTGAGCTGAGAATTAGAGACGGCAGGTGTGCTTCAAGCGAGGCGCTAGTCTACTTTGGGTGACTAGCGTGAACGCCGGATCGCGGACCATCACCAACGATGCGCTTTCACTCTCGCATAGTCTTCGCAATTATCCACAAACATCCTCATAATTGTGTGGCAAACAGACAAGCTCGGTTTCTCGGCGTGGATAAAGCTTCAGACAGGTAGTGGTCGTCGATCGATGCAATAGCTGAAAGCAGTGCCCCTCGAAGCGAGGTACACCCTCCATGCACAAGACTGACAGTAAAGCTTCTCGTTCTGCATCATTATTTTCGTTAATCGTCTAAGTTGTAAATGCTTTTACCGGCCATTACTCCTATGAACGAACGTAATTCGTATTTTTAAAAGTATAATTCACTTGTTTTGCTACATTACACTAGGAAGAACGCGACGATACCAAAGACAACTTTCGCTGAAACGGAAAGCATCTACTCATATTCTATGCGCGTATCTTCCCATCCGCCCTCTTTTTCCCAGGCTCAGTTCTCTTCCAGCACGCTCCTGCAGTCTGCCTGCTGCACAATCTGATCGCGTATTTCCTCCATCGCGTCCCAGCGCTTGCTCGCTTCCTTCTTACCCGTACGGGTCTTCATCATCTCTACATACTGAGAATGACGCTCGTCAACTATCTGGCAGACCCGTCGGACCGTACCAGTACCACGCGGCTGATTTGCGCCCCCGTACACTGCACCACGTACAATACCCAACGCACCTAGGCCATCAAGACGATCGGCATCTTGGACAATCTGGAGAGCAGGGTACGCGATGCACTGTTGAGCAATGAGTTCGGGTTTGCGCAGTTCACGCGTGAAAGAGACCAGAGACGCAATGTGTGTCGCAGGGCCCCAAATGTAGGGTGGGCATTCTGGGGCAGCTTTTTTGATGAATGCTTCGATGGCGTCTCTCTGCCGCACCTGTTTGTCCTGGTCTGTCACCTCCCTCTGTAGCTCGACCGTCAATTCATCGGTCAGGTACTTGTCATCCGCGACATCGTGTACCAGAGCCGCGACGTAGATGACTAGAGGGTCGATGTTGCGGAACTCTTCGCGATGCTTCTCCGCGCTCCAGATGCGGTGCGCGTTGAGAACGACTCGTTGGATATGCTCGTAATCGTGTGAAGGGTCATAGTCTGATGAGTTCATCAGAGTTCTGACGGCGACGTTGAGCTTCTCGAACCAGAGCTTGTTCTTCTCGGCTATCATGGTACCGCTCATAAGCTTGTTCAGGGAAAGGAGCCGAGTGTCACGCTGATCGTTTCGACGTTGGGGAGCGCTCTTGACCGAGCTGAATTGTGACGACGAATGGGAAGAAAAGGCTTCGTCCGCGATCGCCGACAACGTCTCGGTGGCGGCCTTGGCCGGTCTTGTGGAGTTTCCGAAGCTGGAAAGCCGACGATGGATGCCCGTGAAGACTTGGCCCATCTTACTGGTTCGGGGGCTATCCTCAGACATGGTGGGTGGAACGATGTTCGTGGGATTGAATTGCATCAGGGTGTTGATCCTGAGGCTGGATCTCGAGCGCTGATAGATCGTGTTGAGTTGATATTTAATGGTAGTGGGTAATCGATGGTGTAGTAAAGTCGATGAGGGGCGTACCATTTTATCGACGTGGGAGAGAGAGGCTGCCCGCGATCTAGAGAAAACGGGTTTACAATGAGCTCTCACTCCCCTTCACGCTAGATCATAGACTAGTTCTTGTTAAGTGAATGCGGCTCTCTTGCTGCTGTGAATTGACTTGTGAAGATCTCCCTTTGTGTCGAGGCGAGCTACGTGGTCTTGAAATACGTTGACATGTCGCTACTTCAATTCATGATTGCAAGACTTGCATCAGGAGACAAATAGAGGCTCTAGCTATATTGCACTCATGATCACTGAAGTTCGAGTTGGCTGCTACCGCCAAGTCAGGTTAATTACAAAGAGCAACAACATCTTGCCTCGACTTCAACGCAGTAAGCGCCAAAAATGTATGCAGAACATGTCGGAGAGTTTTCACGGTTGCATTGTACTCCGTTGTAGTATGCATGTAGATTATTACTTGGTAAAGGCAAATGCCAACATTGTACAGGCAAGGATTTAAGATTAAACAAAGGAAACAAAAGCAGAATAACTCCTCGCTCGCTGGGATATAGACATTAGTTCATAAGAAGAGGGAGTTTCGAGCAAAGTTGCTAGCAAATCATCCTGATACTGTTTCCGACAGCCCAACCCAAAGCCCACCGCCGAACAGCGGCATCTCGTTCGTGCAAGCTGTTTTCGTATGGCAAAATTATGGTACTGGTCGATCAACCCTCGTAGGTAAGGCAATCGCGTTTAGACGTGCGAGCCACGACTGCATTCCCGTTAGCGCAATCCCCACAGAACACTAGCACAAAACTTACGCAGCAGCCTTGCGGTTAAGACGGTGCACCGTCAAAATACCAAGTACGCCAGTCGCGAACCAAAGGATCATAGACAAGAACGAGAAAGCCTGAGCAGCCTGCCATTGACCACAAGAGTTGTCGCGACGGAAAGACACGCCGCCCCAAGCCCACGCGCTACCACATCCGGAGCCGTTGAACCAACTGACGAGGAGTCCGAAGACAGCGGCCCAACCGGCGGTGAAGACTAAGCAGAAGTTGTTAGTAGATGAATGGATCATGGTAATAGAGTTGAGAGGACTTACTGAAGTCGGATGTGTAGCCAGTGATGCTAGAGCTCGTGGGGATGGCCCAGATGACTGCGAAGAGGATGGACAGCGAAGACCAGATCACCGAGAAGATCAATCGGCCTAGAGGCCCCTGGTCGTATCGAGAACGTTGGTAGAGGAAGTATGCTGTGAGACCGAGGACGATGGCTGCGAAGACCCATTGCGCTGTGCGCAGGATGATCGAGAGGAGACGTGTGAAGAGCATGTTGGCGGTAAGTGTGGGTATCGTTAAAAGCAGTCAAGACGTCAAGTGCGATGCTGGTAAGAAGCAGTACTCAGAATGTTATGAAGCTGTGGATGTGGAGTGTATTGACTTCAAGCTGCCAGTATATATACACCCGGCACCTACGACTGTGCCTTGCTTGGTCAAGAGACATGACAGCAAACGTCAGCCACGACCATTGCGTAGCTAGCCTTGGCATCCAAGAACATCCACGGTCACACTCCTGGGGTTTGGTACCCCTGGGCCTCGTCAGTCACGCATGTTTCTTGTCTCCAAAGACAGTGTGGCTAGTGCTGTGCAGGCCGCATAGCCGTGCAGATCACTGGTTTCTTAGCGCATTCGCTTGGGTATGAGATCATCAATCCCTGCCAGGACGCGTGGCGCAAACAAGTGGCGCAGCAATTTCCACACGGTGGACTATGAAAGGCAGGAACGTCCCATAGTGATTGCCGATATCCGTAATGTTCTGGTGTTTTGTCGACTGCTGGAGGTCTGCCCAGTTGGATCGGTGATGATGATGATGCGTTGGCCTGAGCGCGTTGGAGCGACAGCAGGTTTCTTCGAACGCGCAAAGGACCGACCTGGATGGATGGCTTTGACGTGCGACGTGGCTATGTGCTTTTTGGGTCGATTTTGCAGCAGTCACTCCTACCTTGCGGGCTACATCGTGAAGGCCCGAACCACACAACGCCAAGTCTTCTCCGCAGCAGCAACGTAATCATCCGCTATCTCGGGAACAGCCGTGAACTTAAAGCCAGTCACCGCTTTGTTTGTAAGGCCAGAACAAAGGATATCCTGGGAATTGAATAGTCTTTCGCGTCGTTGTCCTTCGCCTAGTGGACCGTTATGTAGGGCTGCGCTGGCACCAAGCCACCAAATTACGTAGGGCGTGTGCATCGTCTCTCGAAGAGTCTCTAATTTGATAGCGTTCTTACCATGGGGTAGAATTGAAAACCCTGTGTTTCTGTTATGCTTCACACAGACGTTCGACGTCCACATCATTGTTGAGCATGGATGCTTACTGGGAAGTAGTCGCTCGTCGCTTTCATTTGGAACTGCGTCACACCAGAACTCCGTAGGTGCGCATATCAGGACGCGGTACCAATTCTGGGAAGCACGATGAACGTTCTTTCCTAGTCCAGGAAGATTGGTTGCTTGCGATGCTGAACCAGAAGCTGTACTGTGAGACGGATACCTAGTATTTCGTTAGTGCAATTCCCACATCTCTCTACCAGACCGAGTACGTGTTAGCATCGTGCGTCGTTCTATGTCCGAGATCGTAAGCTGAGTTCCTACAACACCGATGAGTTTTACTTCTTCGCTCTTTCACTGAATGTCGATAGAGGATTCGTAATCCACATGTGACATCCCGATCCAGTAGTTTCTAGGCCCCAAAATAACCCAAATCCGCTCTTCATCTGACTTCAATCTTCCCAAATACCCTCAGATAGGCAAAATGGCTTCAGCTGACATCTGTCCCAAAATACATCCGTGCTACTGCAGGTCCAGCCAATGAGCTAGCTCGGCTCGAAAGCTACGCGGAAATACCTAATCGGGTGAATGCGCTGACATGACGGCTCAGTCAGCCCTACAAGCGGTTGTCGCGCTTGTTTGAAGAGTGCAGGAGTGCAAGATCGGTATGGTTTAAAGTCCTATTTTTGGGGGGCTGTGTAGGCGGAAGCGAATCTGCAGATATTCTTGTATTCAAGAGTCAAGCCGAGTAGACATGTTGCGAGGTGGGCGCGTAGAGCTTCGTGTCGGCGATGTATGCGTCTTCATGTGAGAGAGGATAGTCGGCGATATGTGCAATGTTGTTGCGGGTGTGTTGTATAGCCCTCTGTCGCCAATACTGCCCGTGTCGTCCTCCGATGTAACATCATATGTTTCCGAGGCGTCCGCCAATCGTCTGGCTCGTTAATCGATAGCGATAAAGCACGCGTGCTGTACGATCGAGTATGCCTGCCATTCAGCCTTGTGCTTCGGTAAATCGCATTCATC